ATAAATAAAAAATTATAAGGATGCTACATAGTTGGAACCAAAACAACCATCTTCAAGGTCATGAATCTACAACTCAACGCTACTGCACAAGCACAAAGAAAGCAAACCAAAACCCAATGAATCAGATGAAATGATACTATAGTGTCACAAACAAAAGAAGTTGTCAATGTAAAGGAACAAATACCTTGATGAAGCCGATATCCTTGGCGTTATTGTGGAAGCATTGTCTGCAGCACATAAAACCATACTTTCTGATAATGGCATGCGGGTTACCAAGGAAAGAAAGAAAGAACAAGGAAATTAAGTATTATGGTAACGATGGAAGAAAAATATAGAGTGAAATAAATAATGATTATTTCTAATGAAAGAAAATATTTAATATATTATAGAAAAAAAACCATGAATAATTTACATTTGACATGACACTCGAGCCTAAATTATGTATCAATTCAAATAAAAAAAATTATGAAAAATACTCATAGGATCTCGAATTATTATGAGCACCTTTCAATTATGCTTAACAATAAAAATTCAGATAATGCGAGCACTTTTATACCAATAAAATACGCTGAAAGAAGTTTATAGCTGATTTGATTAACATTTTGGATTCAAAATGCTAATTTTCGAAAAAGAACTTAAAAGTGAGGCATTTAAAAATAGTTCTATTATATACAAACATTTATTTGACAAACGGCTAACTGAATGCCCCTAGGCAAAGCAACTAGCTAGTACAATATGTATCCGGTAAGTGTAACAATCAGCTATAAACTATCCGCTATCAACTAAATGCCAAACAAAATCATATAACTGATCTAAAGTATGTCTTATTTTAAGCCACTTAAACATTAAGTTGTCATACTATTTTTACAAATATGCATAATTTTATTAGACAAATTACTGTTATACTTAAAAAAAATCATAATTGAACATAAGTTCGACAAGCTATAACATTTGATATGCATTTTTATTCATAGAGTTTGAAGGATCGACCCCGCGTAACATTAAGATTTTCTCACACAAAAATTTATATTTCATAATGTAAATAGGTAAAGGAATAATTAATTAAAAAGTAAATAACTGGTCTTTCAACGTGCTCAACCATGCATAAGGTATAATATTTCAGATCCAAGCAGCTTTAATTTTCAGCTAAAAGAACATAATTTTCAGTGTTATTAATTTGAGAATTCTCAATTTTCTACGACGTCTAAACGATAAAATATTTTCAGGAACAGGAAAATCAAAACGACTTTTATCTCTATTTTCTATTATTCTGCAAATTGAGAGTAGCATTGTAGGCCAAAACCCTGAAAAACAAACAACTCACCTCTTATCTTAATATGAACGATAATATGATCGATTCATTGAATGAAATTCTGTACAAGCTAAAGAAAAGTGGAAAGCTTCATTGATCTGAAATTGGGAAAAACGAAAGTGACTTGTACAACCCTAATTCTCCTTTTTATATGAGGGAGAAATAAACCTATTGGGCTGATAATGAATACTACAACATATCACTATGCACAAGCCCAATATATATAAAAACAACCTCAAATGTGCTAAGCCCAATTACTAACTTATAAACAGGCCAAATACATATAGTTGTTATATCTCTTGAATATGATTTTAAATTGGAGAAAAAAAAAAAAAAAACTTTTGATACAATTTTTTTCTCCCTTTAATTTCAACATTTCGAGCAAGTATGTGATAGGCCAGCATAACTGCTAGGCCGACATATATATATATATATATATATATATATATATATTATAAACATCTATATTTTCATTAGAATATGTTGCACTTTAAAAACAACTTAAATCAAAAAATTACATTAATAATATAAGTATATATATTCAAAAAATATATATATAAATAGTCGACTCGTGTAACGGTTAAATTAACTCACACATATTTACCTATATTAATTAGTCAACTCCTGTGGATCCAATTTGTGGACAAAAGCTATAATAAGCTGTCTAATGTCTACAAAGGCATAGCCAATTTTCAAAATTTTATTGGGTGCTGGCAAGTGGAATTCCAGATTTTGCACCACCAATAATGGCATGATTTGTGGATGTTATTATGTTCAATGGTTTTACAAATATCATGAACAATGGCAAACATGAATACACATGTTCCTTACAAGTTTTGGATAATCTAATACATTATTATAACCTTTGAGGGCATCATCATGCCATGTGAACTGATAAAATATAGGAAAATTATACAGTCTCGTTACGGAACTATTTTGTCGGAATTTGTAACAGTTAGATCAACTACCCGATGGTTACATGATCTCATGGGTACCGGAATGGTTCCCCGTAACAATTTCCTAAAATATATACATGTATTGAGCACATTGGAAAGATTGAAAGAATAAAGTTCAACTTATTTACTTTTGATTTTTTTTTTTTTATGTCAATTGAAAAAATAGTTATGCTTGTACTTTTGTTCTCTTTTGTTGAGTGATTGATATTTGAAGTAGTTGTTTTTGGTCATTTATGTGTGCCCCATTATTTGTCTCCCACATAATTTTATGGTACAAACTCTATTAATTTTTTTTAGTGAGACCCCTTTTTCTGAATTTATGGTATCTTATAATTAGATATATTAATCAATATACTTAGGTATATATATTATCTATCTTATTATTTTGGAATTATTCATATCATTAATTACCTGAATATTTTCTCATGAATAAGTCTATGAAGTATAACTGTTGGAAGCTAACAGAATATAATCAATTTGATATGTTTACAATATCAATTCTTAAAGCTAACAGAATTTCATATTATTCGATAATAGTGTTGTAATGTAAGTTATTTAACAAATTAATTCTGTAATATTAAAAAGTATATAGGGAAAATCATTTGTTCCAATCTATCTATACTATTAAAATTCGTGTATTAATTACATATAGTATTTAAAAAAAAAATAACTTAAGACTAGCATAGTACATATAAGGCAAATTTTTTTAATAAAAATAATAAATCAAAAATTAATTAAATAAAATAATTCAAGATCTAAAAAAAAAAAGATAAAGAGCGAACTTAAAATGAAAAAAACAATTCAATTTTATAAATGTGATTAACAAAAAAATTCTTGTCATTTATATTTTCCAAAAAGTAAACAATCAGAGCATCGTTGCAGAATTATGTGGTTGTTTCAAGGGCTACACATGACATGGGATATCGGAGCCCGAAAAATTAAAGTGGAAGACGACAACCAGAGCATCGTTGCTATGATAAAGGAGGAGTCCTATAGAGGGCCGCATCGAAGTATTTTGAAGGGGATTCAAGAACTTTTGGGTCGTCATTGGTTGGTGGAGGTTATTCATAGATATCGAGAGACCAACTTTGTTGCGGACTATTTGGCTTCTTTGGCGGCGAAGGGGCCGAGTGGTCTTCATCGGCTAGAGTACCCACCGCAGGGGACGGACATGTGATTAACTCATGATAGAATTGACGTGTCCTATCTTCGGAAGGTCGTCAGATAGTTTTAATGTAGGCGATGTCTCTCATTCTTGAAAAAAAAAAAATGTAAACAACCATATAGTAACTTCATTACATTTTATATGATTATATGGCATACAAATTTCAAAATAAACTAACCTTTTTTTCTCACGTTTTCAAAATTTTCAATTCATTTTCATGATATAATATCATGATTTAAATAATTATATTATATGAATCGGGCC